CTAATATCTCTCTAACTCATCTGTGTCTTCAATTTCCAATTGTGACCTCTTGTTTCTGCGTCCCTTCCCTGGAACATCCTGTCTTTGTCCACCTTGTCTATTCCGCGCAGTATTTTCTATGTCGTTATCATGTCTCCCCTGACCCTCCTGTCCTCTAGTGTCGTCAGGCCGATTTCTCTTAACCTTCCTTCATAGGACATTCCCCTTAGCTCTGGAACTAACCTTGTCGCAAACATTTGCACTTCCTCTAGTTTCTTGACGTGCTTTATCAAGTGCGGGTTCCAAACAGGTGCTGCATACTCCAGTATGGGCCTGACGTACACGGTGTACAGTGTCTTGAACGATTCCTTATTAACGTATCGGAACGCTGTGTGTGTGTGTGTGTGTGTGTGTGTGTGTGTGTGTGTGTGTGTGTGTGTGTGTGTGTGTGTGTGTGTGTGCATTCCTTAATCTAGATAGAAGTATATAGTTGTCTTTCTCCATGTACTCCCAACCTTCCACCCTTTCTCATCCTCTTTCCCCTACATCGCTTCCTCCCTCCACCACAGCTTCATCGTGACATTCATCATGGCCACCGGCACTCCCTCATTATCGGGATTACTGGGATTACTGAAGTCAGTCTTTTTGGAACTGGAGATCTCCCCCCCCCCCCCCTTAGAGCTGAAATCACTAATGGCGATTTCAATCTTGTCTTCAAATTTCGTAATCATAAGACAACACACACAGCCAGGAAAATTTTAGCGTCTAATCACAGTGATTAGCTACTGGATTGGTAATCCTCTCCCAGGAGTCAGTTACATCTAGAGACGGTAGTTTCCTGAGGCGACAAAGATATATCCTTGTTTTTTCATTAGTACATAGATGTAAATAATACATATAAAATATATATATATATAATATATATATATATATAATATATATATATATATTTTATAAAATACACGGCCTCTGAAACCCGACCTGTTCCCCCCAACAACTACAAACAATCGCCCCTGGGGTGGTCCAATAGTGAAAATATAGCTCAACAAGCTTTTAAAGTTGTCAGGGAAGGATGAGCCCCCCCTGCGGGAGCACCCCAGAGGGGATTTTCTTTGGGTGTTCCCAAATCCAGCTTGCCCCAACGCCCCGCCCACAGATCACCGCACGGGTTGCCTTCGACTTTGGCCCCCC